TTCAAGTGTTTTGAAGTATCTTAATGTCTTGGCTCAGTTTTTGATCACATTTTTTTGATATGTTAGTCTCTATAATTTTAATTTTCAGACAAAAAGTCAGGTTTTCACTGTAAATTAGGGACTCCCTCTTGTGGAAGCAATGAATCACTGCTGCAATGTACTATTCAACATTTAGTATTGTATTCATTATAACATTGTACAAAAAAATGTCAATTGTTTTCATTCACAAGTAATTGTGTTGCTTTTCGGGTCCTCAAAGTAGAAATGTAGAATGACAGCTAGTGTGTGTTTGGAAAAAAAAATGTCTGATTAATTTGTAACCAGAGCAGGAATAGCCCAGTTTGTAATTCCACTGGTGATTTCTCCCTTTAAGTTTTCACTATGATGCAGTTGTGCGTACTGTCCCCTTTAAGAGTTTGAGCATGCGCACGAGAGAGAGAGTGTGCCATCAGAGAGGAACAGAGAGAGCCCTTTGTCTAAGGGGACTCAGGTTCAAACTTGACCCTACATACTGTATTGTCAAATAGCAAAATTGCTCCTAAGATAATAATAATCACCTTGTATTTCTGTTGTATGGGGCATTCATGTTGCTCACAACAAAAGTAAATAATGACCAGCAGAGCTTCACTAAATGCATCATTAAATTAGTACATATGACTCATGCCTCCATGCAAAGTCTCCTGCAGATATTTGATAGCATTGTGTAAGCAAAAATCTAATTAGTTTAATTAATTTATTCACTGAAGTTTTATATAGTGAGCTGTTTATATGGTTGTTTTCAGATTTTGTGCAGTGCTGTAGCTGTATTCATCACTGTGTCTGTCTTGCACAATAATATACAGCAGTGTCTTCATTCTTCATATTATTCATCTGCAGATACATCTGTTTCTTGCTGTTTTCTCTGGAGATGGTGAAGTGTCCCTGGACAGACTGAGAGTAGTATATAGTACCACCACTAGAGATGTATGCCAGCCACTCCAGACCTCCTCCTGCAGTCTGTCTGATCCAAGCTAAGTACGGGTCACCACTAAATCCAGATGCTGTACAGGTGAGTCTGTGAGATCCTCCAGGTTTAATGACCACTGACTCAGACTCAGTCAGTGTCTGACACCAACAGACTGAAAAACAAACAGTTAACATGAACATTTACAACAGTGCACATGAATACGTCTAATTATCAACAGGTTTTCAAGACAGCCTTACATTCTGTGAGAGCAAACATGAAGATCAAACCCAGTTTAGGCACAATATCCATTGTCATG